CTTTCTAACCCCCTCTATCCGTCTCTGTCTCAGTAACCGTTGCGCATGCGCCCGTCTCTTTTCCCTCTTTTTTGTTTGTTTCGCTGACTCCCCATTGTGGAATGCGGAAATGTATTATACCCATAAGTCCCTCTGTTTCTGTATTTCTCTGTGCTCTTTTATTTTTAGGCGCATAACTCAAAATGCACCCTAATGACACACATAAAGTCTGACACTCGTGCCGTCTCTTTCCGCCTTTTGTCTGCTCGTTGTAAATTAATTGATGGCCATTAAACTTGGTTTTAATGAAAAAGAGTTCGGACAGCGAAAGGCGGCAACAAATTGTCATTGAAGGGGTTGCCGCCGATCATTTATACAAAAAGTAAATAAATTAAATGACAGATGGAGTACGCTTATTTATGGCATTATCTGTCATTTGTACCTCTTCCAGGGGTTCGAAATATTCAATGTTTGCCGTGTTTACTGCATAGAAATCTCTCTTAAATGAGGTTTTTATGGACAACGATTAAATGCAGTCATATGGATCTAAATAATCCGTCGTGGTATTTAAAATAGTACTGATTGCCTCTGAGCATAAGACTACCAGGATTTTATGATTCAGTAAAAAAGCCACGATACTTTGTATTCATATTAGACCTTTGAAAGCAATAATCACTTAATGTATTACATTGTTTTTGAGGTGTAATCTTACATGTGTTATTAAATGTCAATTATATAGTTCTAAGTAATCCGTTTTGGTATTTTAAATAGTATTCTTTAACCGGCAGCGCAAAAGACTAAGCAATTTTTATGATACTACCGTTCACACTTTTGTAGTCATATAGGTTTCAGTTAAAAGATACAACTTAGAGACTTTAAACTCTAGAAACTTTTAATTAAGGGGAAATAAGATACTTTATAAAGAATTTCCAAGATATTAAATTGTCTCAAACTGTTTTACTTCCAAATAAACCTATTCAACTTCAAAAGACGTAAAAATACCGATTGAACAGCAATAAAAATATGATCACTGAAAGATGAGAGACCTCACTGCACTAAGGAAACTCAAATTCCAGGCGAATGAAGTTAGTTCTGGTAACGAAAGCTCACATTCCGGGACAAATCGAGAAAATTCTCTCTCCCTCTCGCGGCGAATTAAGTCTGCATTTTCAGCTCGATCGCATTCGCAGACGGACGCTCTACCCGTCTCTTTCCTCTGCCAGCTGGCCGTCTCTTTCCCGCACGATTCGAACTCTGGACTTCGACTCATTCACGCGCCGTTCACATAACTCGAAACGTGATTTTTACATGGAGAGTGTCGATGAGATGATGCCACGATTAATGCTGCTGCGGCTGCTTCATCTGCCTCAACTTCGTTTTCTTCTTCGTCTTCATCTCCGGCATTGGCATTCTTGACAACAAAAAGGAAGAGATGCAGCTACAGCTACAGACATTGGAATGTGGCAGCGCCACTTTACACCCTTCGCATTTCGATTGTCGTCTGCGGCCTGCAGCTGTTGCTACTAGTTTATTGGATGCAACAACAACGGCGGCGGAAAAGAGAGAGACAACTGGGGGAGGGGGAGGGAAAGTGCCTCCAGGGGAAGTGAAATTGGTACGGCATGTTAACTGTCTCCGGACATAAGCGCATAAAAGGAAAACAGTGGGTACACAAACAAATCCACACAGAAAAGTTTTTCCTTTTTTCTTATTATTAGCTCATTTTACAAAAGATACAATCTAGACAATAATTCCCTTTAACACGATGAATCTTGGGCTTTTTAACCAAACAGGATTACTAAGAAATAGTATTCCACCCACTAGAACACAGAGTTTAAAAAACAATAGATACTATTTTAAAGTCCCCACGTTTCTCATTTTCTGACCCCAGTCGATTAAAATAGAAGTGATTTTTTAGAAGACGCAACACTGTTTTTATTTTTATGAATTTTTTTTATTGCCCCCATCTTAATCGCGACATTAGTCCGACCCGTCCGCCACTTTTCGTCTCGTTTTCATATTCACATCCGTTTTAATTTCTGGTTACATCATTGCCCAGCAGTCGGCCATCAATCACACGCACAAAACGGAAATAAATATAGAAATAAAGCGACCGGGAAAAGAAGGGAAATGCAGCGGAAGTGCGTCTAATTGAGCAACTGACAGAATGTGCGCGTCTGTGGAAAGCGGTACGAAACGAGGGGCACGCCCCAAAAAGAACAACTCTCGGATTTTGAGATTCTGAGGCCCTCAGACCCTCAGACGCCCCCTCATAGAGACCCGTGCTCTCCTCACGGAACCAGTCTGCAGTCTACAGTCTACAGGCTGCTATCTCAATCAACGTCTGGGTGACTGAGTGACTGACTGAATACACGGGCTGGATGGATGACTGACAGGCAACACGTGCTCACCGCAACCAGTTGGCCATTAAAGTCCCAAAACAAAACAAACCGAGCCCAAGGAGGAAAAAAATGCAACAGTGCGAATGCGAATGGATCTGGATGGGCCTCCGGAGGAGGAGATTCTGGCTGCCTCCTCAACTCATTAAAGGCTTCCCCCGGGAGCCTGGGATAATATCAGTTGCCACACATAATTCCCGCTTAAGTGGAGAGGGAGGCGAACTCGGGTCGTAAACTGATAATAAAAAGGATACCCATAGGCGAAAGACTCTTGGGAGTGATTTTCCCGTACTCACACAGGTAAACGAACCCGTTTTTTCAGGCTGGGAAAGCTAAGCGATTTCTGAAAGCTAACCCACGAACTCGTTAATATTTCTTTTTGCATAATAGGTGGGTTGTAACTCTTGTAAGCCCATTACGTTTTTCCTTAGGTTTTTTTTAGTATTTTTGTATCTTAAAATCAACTGCACTCTACACTAATGTTAATGGCGAAAATATTTGAATAGAAATTCATTCATAGATGCCTTTAAAAAAATCAAATTATAAAATTGAACTAAATTTGTTTTTAAGACAAATTTAAATAAAATATTTTTAAATCAAATAAGATTGTAATATCAAATTTCATTTGTTTTTAAGACATCTATGAATTTCTATCAACAATTTTTTGCCATCTGGAATAGTTTTAAGTGTTTCTAATGTTAAGATACAGAAAAAGTATCTTAAGATTTTTTTTAGCAAGCTTTCATTATACGCAATTATATAATATTATTTTAATTACCTAAAAACCGTTATGCAATTATATAGACGCTCGAGTTTGAATGGAAATCTTATGCATTTTGTATTTATTCCATTCGACTTGACACAAATGAGTTCATTGTAACTTTTCAGTCGCATTCGCATGAATGGAGGCCACTTATGGCTTTATCAGTGACCAGAGCAGCAGATCTTTCGGCCAGGTTGCCTTTCCAATTGAAACTATTTCCGGCCCGACTCGATTCAACCACTAAAAAAAAACCACAAATACAATAAGACGGCGACAACCACGAGGCGTGGAGAGATACATTAGAGCAATATAGAAATGTTTGTGCAATTGCAATGGCATACCGCATGCCACATGGTGCCACACACTAATAGATCCCCGCCCCAAACCGCCCCACCACCCCACCGCCCCACTCTTCAAGGCGTCAACCGTCGTCTCAAGAGTGGTTCCCATGTGTGCCGGTGCTGGTGAGTGTGTCTGCTCCAAAACTGTGAAAATGCCCAGACGGTGAGTGTGCAATTGAGCGACTGCTGCTACTTCTACTTCTGCTGATGCGGTCGGTTGCCTCCAGCACTCCCCATCCGCCCCCTTGGGTCCGGTCTGGTCTAAACTTCGATCCCGTCTGGTAGATATTCTACCCTACTTTGCAACTTGGTATCATTATACAGCAAGGACTTAAGATTTCTTTTTGGGCAATCTTTCACATTTTAAAAAGTTTGGTAAATCTATTTCAAACCTTTCACAGACTAAAACTTGTTTTCAATATTCTAGCATTAATTACAAGACATTACACTAGTTGGTAAAGGTTCTGCTTTCCAAGACTATACCTTTTTTATAGTGATTATAGTAAGCGTGAAAATAAATAGAATAAAGAAGACTTTAACTTATGATCCTTATTGTTATAATAGATATTTATATGACAAAAAAATTAAATATCTTCTATTTTTAGATATACCTATACTATACTTTGACTTGCATCTAGGGTATTCAATGACTCGCAGACCATAAGTTGAAGTCTTTCCAGCTTTTTCTCCTGTTTTCTGATTATTTTCCACTGATGCAGTTGTTTTTGCTGGAGCTGACGCTCGGTGCCAAGTTATTATTATTGCAGTTGTTGTTGCGACAGACGCGCCATTTGTTACACATTATTTAGAATCAGAGGCCATTTAACACCACCTCCTGCCACCACCCACCTTCCTCTGTTCCACACGCTTTCCCCCTCTTTGGCTGGTCACCGTCGCCGTTTTATTTTTTGCTCCATCCGGAATTTACCCAATATTTATTGTTAGCGAGTTATTTGGAACTGGGCCATGCGGAAATACCAAAGTGAAATATTAGAGCTGGGGATGATATATCCGGAATCGGGAGAACTACTCCGCTCTTTCTCTATATTTGGGCCCGAGAAACACGCTTCTAGTTCACAAATTTTCCCATTGACAATCAAATCAGCATACATTTCTTAGGAAAAATTCCAAAACGTCTCCTTCTTGTTCAACCTCATTGGAATGTGACACAAATTAAGCACAACGAAAGAGATAGCTGTGTACAAGCGAAGATACAGTGGAACTTTCCACACACAGAAAAGCTAGAATTGGTATATTTTCTATTAAAACAAAATTTTCTTGTTATTGGATCTTTTGAAAAACTAATTGAAGATGTTTAAGCACATAATATACACATAATTGTTATTACAAATTTAAGTATTACCAATTTTTGATTTAAATTACTATTTATCATTAAAAATATATATTTTTTGAACCCATAAATCCTTTTCATTAAAGATTAGTATCCAACTCATTTTTATAGATAAATAGTCTACTGTAATTGAATTCTCCTAAGAAAAAGACAGAAATGTAGCTTACCTCAGGCGAGAATAATAAATGGCAGAGACAATGTATGCCTCCTCCTCTCGCTTTTCTTTATTGTTATAAATTTCAAACACGTTTCGATAATATTTTTCTTCACTGCTGCCTTTGCACTTTCCCACCAGCTTTTGGCGAAAGCTTTCTTCGGTGGCAAATGAAAACCCGAAAATTGTAAATTCGGGGAAAACCGTGGAGTTGAGAGGTAGAGATGGGGGAGAAAATGCACTCGGGATCGGAATTCGGATCACTTCTATAACTTAATTTCCCTATCTCATTCTCTGGTTCCATTCCCTGGTTTCTGTTGCTTTTCTTGTTTTTTTCTGACTAGCAATTTTATTTATTTAGGTTATCATTTTTCTTGATTTTCTCGTTGATGTTGTTGTTGCTCTCTGATCTTTTGTTTGCAAGTATTTGTGGTTGTTGTCACATAGCATTCCTCACTGTTTCTCACATTTTTCACATGATTTTTACTTTCACACCTTCGCGGCACTCACTGATCATTTCACGTGATCTCAATGATGCATTTAGTCGTCGCCGAACTGAAATGAAAGCAAAAGAGAAAGGCGGGTGATGAGAATAGAATTTCGTTTACTCGGATCTAAATTGAATTGCCATTGTATTGAGTGACAATACTATTGTATTACGGAAATAAATAAAAAACTAAGAATATGTATTGCGAATAATTAAAAATAATTCTTAGGGCCAGTACTTAAGCTAACAATATCTGTCCCAAAAATTAAAGTTTCGTTTCCCAAGTACTGAGCCTGAAATCAAATTTAGGAAATAAATAATAAATAATAATACAATAATTATAAACATTTAATTTAATCTACAATTTTACAAGAGAAACCCATTTTGCAACTCGGTACAGTCAATCCATTACCAGCTAACTGTAGCGCAACCATTATCCAATTAACAAATTCCACAGAATCACTTAAAACCCAGAAAAATAGTGTTCGTGCAACTTTAATCCACCTGAAAATCCATAATTTTGTGCTTGACTCTCACAATTCTTGCAGAAATATCCATTAGGCCCCACCCAGATACAAAGAGACCAACAGCCGTAAAACGTTCAACTTTCGCGCCAAATCATAAACAGCACAACAACAAATTCGCCCAGCCAAGCGGAAAAATAATATAAAATATATAAACAATGTAAGGAAAAACTTTATCAAACAATAAACGACATTTTATTACAACATCAACGCCGCAAGAATGCAAAAAAAAAACAGAACAAAAAGTAAAAAGATAGTAAGATATTGTTTTGGCACTCATGGGCCACGCCTTTTTCTGTGGGAGCAACAACAACAAAAGTATCTATATAAAATATATAAAGTGCAACCGAAAAATAAAAAACAAAACTCAACGTAACCGAAATAGTGAAAAAAACGTGGTGAACGAAATTTAAGTAAGACTGTATCGACTTTACAATACCTTTTCGAAAGAAAAAAACACTAACAAAATTATTTTAAGATCAAAACATGCACATGCACATGTTTACTACTTAAAAAGTTTACAATTTAAAATTAAATTTGTATACTTTTCGATAATAAATACATTATTTGACAACTAATTCTGTCTAAAAGGAACAAAGTTCTAGTAAATAAAAGTTTTTAAAGTTTAAAATTTTTAGTTTTAACAAATTTTAACAGCTAGAATAATTAAAAATTCGAATATGCTCTCTTCATTTACAACTTAATGGGTATGAAAACCGTCTGCGCCAGAAACAACAACAAAGCCAAGAAAAACAAGCGCAGTTCAAGCATCAAAAAGCTGCCGTCACGCCCCTCTTGAGTGCGCTTCCCGCCCACAACCCCTCCCCCCCTTCGACACACGAAACGGGGCCAGACAGACAGCGTCTCTCTCGCTCTAGCGCTACACCCCCCTCCCTCTCACTCCAAAAGTCACGTGGGGTGTTGTGTGCGGCACGCGAAATGCAGAAAAAATGCAAAACTGCTGAACTATAGCTAAAATAAATAAATAAATTAGATGAAAATTTTTGGTGTTCCGCATTTTAATAGCATAGTAGATATTGGTTTTAAATTCTTTGTTAAATTAATAGTATTTTTAATATTATCTATCCATTTTTTTCCAATCAAAATTAATTTAGAAGTATCAACGTAATATATTTTTTTAACTTTTATATTCTATTTATTTATTTATGCAGCATTTATGCAACATTTAAATTAATTATAAATATATACTGTACAAAAACATCTATAGGATAGTACATCTGTACACTAAATTTCCTGACAAAATTAATGAAAATCTTGTTTAATAAACTTTAAAATGGTTAAAAAGTGGTCAAATGTGTTTTCCAAATTAGAAAAGATTAAGTGCTGCCTCATAAATCAATGCATTGGCTTGTTAATTTTGGTTTAATGCACTTTTAATTGCAAGTCATAGTAATTATGAATAAATATTGGCTTTAAAGCCAGATTATTTTGCTTACAATTCGCATATTTGGCCAAAAATTCATTTTGGTCAAGACAACAAATCAGCACACACACACACAGATCTAAACACACACAAGGAGGCCCGTCGTTAAAAATGTGCTGCAGCAGCAAATGAGAGAGCACAACACAACCGAGAGAGCGCTTGCACACGCGAAAGAGATAAAACACAAAATACGAGACATGCACAAACAACAAAAACGAAACACAAAAACGAAAAAAAAACGCAAGGCGTGCAGAGACGCCGGCGGAAGCAGAAGCAGAGCGCCGGCAACCCTCGAGATGACGTTGACCCCGAAAAATGACGCGAAGCGCAATGTGTGAAAACGAATGCGAACGGGGACGAAAACAAACTGAAATCTAATAACGGACCGGCGAGAGTGCAAGCGAGAGGCGAACAGCGTCGGCGTCTGCATGCGTCGCCCGCTCTCGCTCTCGCCCCCTCCCCCTACCAACAAGCGACCACTTTTTTTTTGTTGTTTTGCGGATAGACGTGCTAAAGCGCAGTGCGTATAAAAACACGCAGACAGGACGAAAAGCCGAAGAACAACAACAAAGTGCAAGCGCAGTTAGGCGGCGGCCAGACAGAAAGAGACAGCGACAGCGAGCGCGCGCAAACGGTGGAGACAAAGAGAGAAGGAGAACGTGAGAGCGTAAACAGAGCGCATGTCTGCGATAACAAACAGGAGGAAGGAGGAGAATGGGCGCTGAGAAAGAGGGTGGTGGGAGAAGGACGTGGAGGAAAGGAAGACGCGTAGGAGGAATGCGTTTATGCGAAACAGCAATATTTTGGTAATAAAATAACCATAAAAACGGGCAATAAAAAGGATACAAAGGACCTGTGTATAAACAAGAGATCAGTGTTAAAATATATTCTTTAATATAATAAAAAAAAACATTATTAGATAGGATAAATACCATCTAATAACGTCTTCTTATGTTTCAAGATTTTTATGATTTTAGGATTTTACATTTCCCTAAATATTGATAATATTTGCGTTGTTTTATAAAAACCTTTTGGGATTCAATTAGTTTTAAAAACAAAAGTGAATCTTTTCCCCATAACTGCCAAACGGTGAAAGCTGAATAAACAATGGCATTAAAAACACCAAGTTACCATGAATTGCATACAGCTCATGTTTGTTTTGGGCATGAATAAATCACGATTTGCACGGCATACGTATGAACGTACGGAGTGGAAAATCCGGAGGCTGCCACTCTTTTACTTGCGTGTGTGAGTGTGTGTCTGTGTGATAAGGGCGGCAACTGCAGTCGCAACAAAAACAAAACAAAAAGGAAAAGAGCAACAACTACTTCGAGCACACATAAAATAGCAGAAATTTTTTCTCACAGATGGAGGCCGCCAAATAATTTTTTTTTTTACATATTTTTTGCCAAGCGCCAGCAGAGGCACAAAAACAACAACAACGAAGAGGACAGCAAAACGCAGTTCGCTTATGAATGGAAAAGAAGGCGCGCGACTGTCTCGCTCGCTCCCTTAAAACGCATGTGTGTGTGCAAGAGAGAGAAAGAGTTTGGCATGACTGTGTTTGTGTGTGTGTGTGGAGTGCAGAAAATGTCGGTGTCGTTGGCCCTTGGCTGGTGTTTTTGTTGTTTTGTTGTTGTTGCGGCGCAATGTGGTACAGTGACTACCAAAAAATACTAGCAGGCACCTCGTAAAACGGCCCAAAGAGGAAGCGGCGAGGAATGGGCGGAAAGGGGAAGGATGAAGAGGCGGCAAACGGAAGCAGCGACGTCGCCTAAATGGGTTGCAATAAAAAAAACTACACATGCGGTTGTAAAGTTGTAAAACTGCGGACGTAGTTCCAGTTGTAGTCCGTAGTTTCCAGTCGTAGTGGTTGTAATTCGTAATCGAGTGTTTACACTCCAACCCATTTAAGCCGAAAGAACTACCTTTAACTAAGTAAAAAAAGATTATTAAATTTACAACATATTTAGGAAAGAATTGTTTTTAATCCTTTCATATGTGTATATTATGAAACGCAACATATATGAAAGTTTCCATATTTTGATTAGGTAATTGGGATACCTCATTTATGGCAAATCAATTTTAAAACAGCTCGTACAGTAACATTGTCAAAAAAAGTAAATATTAAGAAAATTAAACCTATTAATAATATATATAATAAAATATACTTATAAATTGAAATTAATAGAGAAAATCAAAAATCAAATGGTGGTGCAAAACACTGTTTAAAAAATGCTGGTTTAATGTTTAAAATATATGTAGATCCTTTAGAGATAGGAATATACATATGTACTTAATTGTGTTTTAAAGTGTTCAAGGATTAGATATGCCCAAGAAAGGATTTCCTTATATTTGTATTCTTTGCTATGAATAGCACAAGAAATAAAAGTCCGCCCTAGCAAAATACTTCAAATAAAAAAATAAAAACAAAAACAGTACTATCTTTTAATTTATAGTATGTATTCGCAAGTTTTATTTGTAGAAGTTTCACTGTGGCATCTACTTTGTTTTACATTGTTGGCTGTATTGGTAGCTTAGTATTTAGTTGTTTGCTGCCAATGGGCTGCTAATGAGAATGAAAGGGGTTCGTTCGTTGCAGGGGAGGTTTGAGCAAGGGGGTTCGGTACGGATCATCAAACGGCGCCGCCTAATTAAAAAACCATTAAAATTTAAAGCCACCGCCTATGCATGGGGGCTAATAAATACATAAATTTGCAGCAGCGGCAACGGGCCTCCAAAAATACAGAAAACAAAAAAAACGCTAAAATTAATTACCTCACGAAACAAACAAGAAGGTAGTCGCGATAAAAAGCCAGAGAAAAGGGGAAACTAAAATGCAGTCAAAGCACATTGGGTTCAGTTTCGGTAAAATGGAATTTTGTCGCAAAAAAGACGAGTTAGCTAATGTAATTTAAGTCTTATACACAGTTTTGTGAAAATTATTGGGGTCTGTTTTGCTGCAAAATTTTTCAAAAGTGTGCATTGTAGGTACATGCTACACAAAATTGATATTAAAAAAAAATTCGGTAAAATTTACCAATACTGATAGTTAAGTAACTGTAAAAAAAAATGTTAAGCACTATTAAACGCTGTTTGT